TATAAAAAATGTGTAATTTCCAGTAAATAAATTTAATCTTATAAATACAGACTTCTACTAATAACAATATTTGGCATGGTTTGACGCTTTATAAATTCAGAGCACTGTATCACTGGAATCTTTAACTCCATTCTCCTTCTGTAATGGAAGTGTCAATATTCTCATTTGGCAAATTGAGAAATTGAAATAGAGCAGCAAATTTGGTTACCCAGGATCACTATAGCTGTAATTTAATGAAACATGTGGCTGCTGCTTGCACCAGCAAGGGCTGCTCCTACCAACAGGGCACTGTGCCACAGAAGCTGCAAATTCCATCCAGGACCTTGGGTAAATGTTGCTGCCTTAGCTATTACTTTAGGTATAATTTCTTGTGTTACAATTATGCCTTTGGATGTGTGCGGCAAGGTCAAAATTAAGATTTCTTTCTTCCAAAAGCAGTGCCATTTCTCCTATTTTGCTGTACGCGTCCATTTAGGTTTTCCCACCTAAAACACACACAAGAGATAATGCCTGTCAATACAGACACACACACATAAAAAACCAAAAGCTGTGCATGTATGCAAGAGTGCACTAAGAATGGAGTTAGCAGGAAGGCAAACAGAAATATTCTGTGCTTTAAACTTTGAAATCAAAGAACTGGGAGAAGGCTTCGCTTAGTAAACATTGCCCAGTTGTTGATGCAAGTTGTTTTAGAGAGCTTAAGGCAAAAAATCCAGAGAAAGAGAAAAGGAAGACATTTGAGCCTTCCAGTAACTTATCCTACAGCTGGATTCAGGGTTTGGTCACTGGTCTCTCTTTTTCCTTTCAACATCTTTTCCCTCATGTCAGGCTCCCAGGCTTGGCGCAGCCTGACTCTGTCACTTTGATTCTGTTTAGATTTCAGGTCCAGAGTCTGGGTTTAAATCTTTATTCTATACAATGCAAAATATAAAATGACCAAATTCATAAAATATATTTATCAGAGAAAGAATCATAACATCCAGCAAAGGTTTAATCTCCTAATGCCTGTGAGCAGAAGAGTATAATCCTGGACCAACTGAAGCTGAGTGCAAAAACTCCACTGCACCAGTTTGCCTCGAGACCTGCTCATTTCTGCATGACTCTATTCTTAAGAGCATCCATTACTTCCAAATATATTGAAAATTAATATTCTTGTTACTATATAGAATTTATTGTGTTGGTGTTAGTAAGAACTAGGCAAGAGTTCTAAACTTAAAGGCAAACAATTTTAAAACAGACAAATGGTGCTAATTTTTAACAGTGAGGATAAATCAAACTCCTACAAGGAGTAATGGTTTCTCCAGCTCTGGAAACCTCCTAGTTGAAGTCTGAAAGCAGCTCTGGAAGGTTATCAGGTCAAACAAATATTCAGCCAGTACTACAATAGCAGGCTAAATTTATCAATACATTGATGTTAAAATATAGATGCTAATAGAGGTGGCGCAGTACTTTTTTCCTGCACTGGCACTGAGGAATCACAGGAACAGCTTCAAATTGAGAGAAAGTGGGAGAGTTACAAAGTTCCAGTTTTACCCTAGCTACAGAAATATTTCTAAATGGAAAAAAAGGCTGAATTCATAAATACTTATTAAAGAAGACTATTTCTAAAGTGCTCCTGGTGGTTATCTGCTAGCTGTGGGACTTCAAAGCATTCCCACACCTAGGCATACTTCTTTTTGTCTGAGTAGGTCGTTGCCATTGATTTCACTGGGCAAAAATTTTAACCCAAATTTTAGGGAGAATAATATTTCTACCAGCCTTTACTGAAGTGTTTTGCAGATGTGAACCATCTCACAAGTAATAAGTTTATTACTCGCAAGTATGAGTTTATGTGTGGTTTGTTTTGGAGGAGACATGACTGACTTGAGCATCAAAACCCAGACAAGGAAAAGAGGGGCAAGTAAGAGAAGCTGCTTTGCTTTAAGGCAAGCTGAGGAATACTGGGGTTATTTCTGCTCACGCAGGAGAACACCTTTATTTAGACTATGGAGCCTTTTGGTGGCAGACATGCAGTGCCCAGATTTGTTTACAGAGCATGTCATAATTACGGCTGTTAAAATAATACCACTGGAAAATGTTTTACTGATTTTTTTTCCTGTTTGATTAGCCCTGGGGGATAACAAACCTTCTCTAAACCAGGAAACCTGTAAAACTCTGCTTTGATAAAGCAGAGCTCCTTCATTGCTTTAGCAAAGCCCCACTGCTCAGCACGCAGCTTAGTGAGACACAGTATGAGGGGCTGGGTCCCTTACCCAGGCGTTCAGCCATAGGTCCCTGCCATCAGTGCTTCAGTGAAACCGCTGCTGCTGCTCTATGGGGAAATAAAGAAGCCAAATATACTTTTCCCTTCTTCTTCCATCTTTGGAGAAGAGAGGAGAACTTGTTGCAGAGAAACAAACAGTGATTTCCATGTTTCAGTCCCACAAGGTTTGGTGAGACTGCACATCACTCAACATTTCCATATATACAGAGGGTGGGATAAAGACAAATCCTGCCTTAGACTGCAATAAGATCACTGCACCTGCAGAGAAGGAGGTGGCAATGATACTGACTAACACAGTCAACAGTCTCTGAATTTGTCCTTGGGAATAAAAGGGGCTTGAGCTTGTAAGACATAAGAAGCGCAATAGGTAATCTGTCATTCAGCACAGGTAACTTCAATTTTTTTCTTCCTCCATGTTTCCAGTCAGGCCAGTCTCATCAGTGACACCAAGGCACCAGCAGTAAGGTAGGTGGCTTGCATTTGCTGTTGGCTATTTATTACGTACTTTTACATTGATCTGTAAATACATCCGGGAGCACTCACACCATCTGCTGTGCATTTGCCAGTCACTGAGTGGATGGTGGACATCTGGGGTGTCACTGGGTTTTGTTGATTTTTCCCCCATTAGAGCTACTGTTTCCTTTTTTATGTGAGCAAAGAGCCAGGCTGACTGCAGTGAAAAGGTGGCTGGGTGTATGCAACACTACCTCCAAATCCTCAGGATCTGAGTTTTCTCCCAGGCTTCCTTCCACTTTGTAGAGCTCAGAGTACAAAACTAGCATGAAACATAAAAGGACCAACCATAGTGCTCCCTTGCAGTATGAATGGCAATATTAAATGATAATGTGGCAGACAAACTGGTGTATTTCCTGCATGTCCAAGACATCACAAAACCCCAGATTTGGGGAGGAAACAAAAAACAAAACACATTTAATTTAATGCATTCCCCCAAATTGTGTTTTGGGAGCTATTACACACCCACTGACACAGATGGGGAAAGCCAAGGCTGCTTGTCTGAGCTCCAGAACCAGAGTCAGAATATTGATTAATACTCTTCAGAAAATCCCCTTTTTGTCACAAGTGGTTCGACCTTCCCCACTCTTTTTCCTGTGTATCTGTTATCTGCACACTCAGAAATACACAGCTTCTCACAAGTATGTTCTCTAGAATCACCAACACTGTACTATCATAAATCATGTTTAAGCCCTGACTTTTGGAAGAACTAAAAATAGTAATATATTGATTTTAGCATAATAACTTCAAGATTATTTGGAGCATATTTGGTTTGTGTTTCCAAGATAAGCATCTTCTAGACTGAAAATTAAACTTCAGAGATTGTTATATGATTCCAGCTACTAGTGCGCGAAAGAAACCACACTGGTGTCATGAGAAGTAAAATAATCACTCCCAGCTCCCAGCATTTCCTGCTTTGAAGCTGCTTTACAGTGGTGAGGCACAAGCACAGGGTGCCCAGAGAAGCTGTGGCTGCCCCATCCCTGGCAGTGTTCAAGGCCAGGCTGGACAGGGCTTTGAGCAACCTGATCTAGTGGAAGGTGTCTCTGACCATGGCAGGGGGGATGGAACTAAATGACCTTAAGGTGCAGTCCAACCCAAACCATTCTATGATTCTATGATCCTGCCCTACAGAAATTGCAAGTGCTGCCACAAGGACTTCCCTGTGCTGGGAGAGGTAAGTGCAGGCATGAAGCGAAGGTGCTCAAGGCAAGCTCCAGTGCACAGGGGACTCTTGCTGAAGGGGCCATTCTGTTGCTCAGCCCCTCTACCTCTGAGGCACATGGCCTTCACCTACCAAAAGTATGGTTTACTGGGGCTAGAGAAAACTAATTGCAGCTTCTAAACATAGCTGTGGCTGTGCCCAATATAATAATTCTAGTCTGTGGGAGCTGACAAGTTATTTGGGTGTACGCAGCTTTGCATAGCACACATGCGTAGTTTTTTCACATTTTCCAAGTGATTTGCCATACGGCACCCTTCTTAGAGATTCTGCCATTAAGTTTTTATAAACCTGTTATTTCCTATGACTCATAGTTCACAACATACATAAGTAAAAGACATGTAATCATCATACTCATCAAGCTTCTCCGATACTGGGCTTCTGATACCTTTCTGAACAGTTAACTGCAAAACAGCATTGATAGCGCTGCAGTTCAGTGCCTATTGCAGAGACATTGCTCAAGGTCACACCTGGCAGACAGTGGAACTGTTTGCCTAGCATGCACTGTACCAAAACATGTTTTCCAGGAAGTTTGCTTTGCTTTTAGCTCTACAATAGTACACCAAAAGAATATCAAAATTAGCATGGGGCCTGTAAGCTTTGCTAGCCATAACAAGTTCATAGATCATTGTAACACTGTTCTTGAGTCAGTTATTACACCATGCTCTATAAATATGTTAGAATACCAGGGCAGGTTTCAAGAAGTCACTGTGACTTACATCGTGATCCTCCTCAGGGAGGGAGGGAGGGAAGGAAGACTTGTTTTCCCACCTTCTGTGGGCTGCTGCTGTTTCCAGGAAAACAAACAAGGTACAGAGTGATTGCACATTAATTCAACGCTGTAAATGCATTGCATTCAGTTTTCTTTCAGAAATGTCTCTTGCATTTCATCTAAGGTAAATTGTCAATATTAGAAAATATACAATTGCAACCGGGTCACAAGAAATCCAAGAATAGCTTTTATATTTCATGACTTGTACAGGATTGCAGATATTCCCTTACCTTCAAGTTTTACTTTTCTATTTTCTTCATGGAATTTTTCTCATCATTTCTCTGCTCACAGCCTTGCTGCCTGCAGAATGCTGGTAGAGATGAGATATACATCCCATTCTGGTGTCGTAAACTAAATGAAAATAAATACTGCTTATCACTCGCTCTCAGCCTATTTTCTTTCTCATTCTGTTGCTTCTCAGTGTAATATAGCATTACAGCCATTTCTGTCTGTATGGGAATCATGGACCCATTGGAATGGACCCATCATGGAATCATTTTCATTCTGAAATGGCTGTGAATTTCAAATTCATGCTATATGTGCAGAACAGTTAGGAGCAAGACATTTGTACAATCATCTGCAAGTGTTTGTCTGTAATGAATTAGTACCAAAATAAATTAATTTGTATCACTCCTCCATCTGGATTATATTTGGTGGGGAAATCAAGACAGTCAGGGTTAGAGAGAGGAGTCTTAGTACAAACCTAAGATGCTCAGTGTTATAGACAGTTTAAAAGCTATGCTTGATAGGATATACTGACATTTTAATTCACTTCTTAAGGTTTCTAATTTTCTATCTGAATTGCAAAATAAGAATACTATAACAGGGTTTTGTTGATAACAGTTTCACAGATGATGGAGAATGGAATTTTTTTGTTTGTTTGTTTGAGGCAGAATGAGCAGTCCATTCTTTTGCTTGACCTCTCCATATCTGGAGAATATGTAAACATATTGAAACTTTGTGGTGTTCTACAGTGGGGGAATGAAGTGCATCGATTGCTTGCAATTATTAGCTAGAGTGGGATAAGCCTTCTCCTTATTATGCAGATTAGTGAAGCTCTCAGTTCCAACATATTGTACAGATGCAGGAGAGCAGCTGCTCTTACAGATGGCAAGTACACAGCTCCATTAGTATGTATCTATTGTCTGCTCTTGGCTTGCTCAGAGGATGGAGAGGATGGGTAAAGAGGAATTGTCACACAGTAAAATGTAAAGGAGAACAGGCACTCTTAAAAATCCATACCCAAGAGACTATTTACACAGAAGGACAGACAGCAATCAAATTAAAAGTCTACCCTAAATAAGGACTTTCGTAAGTCACAATTAAGCTTCTATAGTTTTAAAATATACTAACCACTACGACCAAGGAATAGAATTCAGATTTCACAACTAAATGGTACTAAATAAAAAGAAATCCTTGAAGGTTCATTGAAAATTTGGTCATGTATTGCGCCTGTCCAAAGCTTCCTTTAACAGAACCTTTGCCCTCCAAAAACATCTCACTACCCCAAAGAACAAATCCTCACTTATTTTTCATAACATAAAAGACAGAAAAGCAGAACTGTGCTTCACTTCTTAAGCTTTTCACCATAAGAATACAGCATTTCATGCAATTTTTTGCATTAATGAGAGCTGAAGCAGCTAAATTTAAGTTAGTATAGACAGCACTGATTGTGCACCTATGTCAATTATTCTTTGTGAAAATGCTAAACAGAACATTCGTTAACCATGTGGTAATTTTTAATGCGATGAACAATTCCTGAGGAAACATACAGCTACAGGCTGACTGCTGAAAATAGTCTAGTAAAGAACAATTATTTATAACACAATCTGTGGCTGGATGCACGAATTATGGTTGTACCGGAAGGTTTTATGCTATACTTAACATACAGTTTATTTTTATTTAGCACAGAGATGACTTAGAGTGAAAAAGAGTGATTAGGTACAAATTAAGAAGGTGGTAAAGCCTAAGTTATGGTCTCATTCCAATCTGAAAGTCTGGGAAGCCAAAGATGCCTAACCAAGTGCAAGGGAAAGAAAAAATATATATAAAGAAGCCCATACAAACAAACCATCAGGTCCATATAAAATTTAGGAGGTATTTGTCCTTAGTAACAAGCTTTTACTCAAGATAATCTCAAAAGATGACTTGCCTATGAACAAAGTCCATTACACCTGTTCTCATGACTTGCAGGCCCTGGAGATCAGCTGCACAGTGCCTGGGCTATGAGGTGCCCTTGCTGCCTTTCATCGCTAAGTCTGGGGTCCTCTGTGTTCAGGGAGAAATTACTTAGTTTATTTTGAGCATTGATTTTAGAAGTAAAATACTAAAGGGTACACAAAGCACTGCCGGGTGAAACTGCTGCATTTGCTTGAATCCTTCATCTGAATGTCACCCAGACAAAAACTGTCAAAAGCATGGAGTGAGCACCCTGTTTCAAAGATGTTGAATTTCCACAAGAACTTAAAAACACAAACGTAAGATATGAAAATGATAAGGGAAGAAGACTGTTTTGAGCTGGCCAAGAGCAGAATATTTTTCTCACAGAAAACCGGAAAAAAAGTATAATTTAATTTTTTTAGTGGTTTGGATGTTTTTATGTGAATATAGGTGGTGTCAGGCTATCCAAATGTGCATCCACTCTTCTAAGCTTGATCCGATCAAAATGAACATTCATTGAGAAGTTGTTCTGCTTCTCTTTAAGCCTTACTTCCTAACTAGATATGGATTTACTTAAGGAAAAGATTAATGTTTTCAGAAGGTTAAATAACAGATCTTTCCTTCTGACAGCGATGATTTTTATTTCTGCCCAACAGAAGAGAGTAGCTACACCAGGACACTAGGGTGGCTTTCCTGCTCCAGAGATGAAAGTTGAAAGTATGTCCAGGAGCTCATGCTGTGAGCTCTGAGTCTAAAATAAATTTAAAGCAGTTTTGAGCCTCTGGGCAAGGCAAATATGCAGAGCGCAGATGCTCAGATCTCTTCAGACAATGAGCTGTGTGAGCATCACCATGTCAGGCAGCATCTCAGGCAGCCCCTATGAGAAACTCCAGTGTCTGGAGATCTATAGATTAGTAGTACATTCAAATTAATCTTGTATCTGGTCTCACAGATTAAATGGATACACTTGAAAGATTTTGCTTTGAACGAGTCTTACAGGATTTGGGCTTAGATGAGAGCAGAATTTTTACTTTCCTCCCAACCGCATCCTGTGCATCTGAGTCTGCAGCACATGGCTCGGTCTGAGAGTGACCATCCAATCCCATCAGTCCCCCTCTTCTTAAAGGCTATTGTTTCTATGTTAATCCAGGCAAAAATAAATCCCCAAGTATAAGGAATACTAATTTTGTTCCTATAGCTTTTTTTTTCCATTATTGATGACAAATGTTCCTAAAACTGATACGATCATCATACAAAGGTAACACATTGTTTAGGCTGAAAAAAAATACTATGTGGTGGGCTGCTTGGCTCTAAATATTTACTAGGTCATTAATTTTCTTCTTCTTACCTGGTGGGTTTTTTTTTTTTAATCTTTGCTGAACTGCTTTTTTCATGTTAATAGAACCTAAAAGTCTGTGCTTTCTTCAGAGCATGTGACAATAAATTCCAGTGCAGTATCCTGAGACTATAGCTTAATATAAAGAGAACATTCTCCTTTTCATGCTTTTCTGTTTGGTAGTTTATCTATAGAAAAATGTACAGGTTACATGAAACACATGAAAAGGAGCAATGCACTTCAAATTGTAAATTTGAGGGTTTTCCAATGCTATTTGATATGGAAGATAATTTTGTTGAAACCTATTATGCCTTAAGAGATCCTTGAATTGAATTCCAAGATTAAGTCTCCAGATGCCTCCAATATAAAAAAAAAAAAATTGAGAAACGCAAAGATCTATCTTTGTTTGTTCTGAATTTAGAGGGCTTTAATTCAACCTCTCTCTAATCCTAACAACCAGGGCTATGCCCTAATTTTACCTGGGTTCAGGTTTTAATTTTAATACTGTACTGCTAATATACTAGATTCAATAACCACATAGCACCACATTCATTTGCAAATTTCTAATACTTATGGTCAGGACGGTACTGTTTACGAATCAGGCAAGCATAGAAGGAGAGATACATTTTCATCAGCACAGCACAAAAACAGTAGCAGAATCCCTGCCTGGAAATGTTTGCCATACAAAACCTCCTAAACACAAGCCAAAGTATAATCAGAATTGGCTATTATGAGCCTAGGAAATCAAAATAGTTTTTCCTGGATTCTTGTTCTAACAATACAGAACCGGGGTTTTGAGATACAAAAAATGATATTACACATCTCTAGGTTTTTTTTTAATCGATTGTCTTGCCAAAAACAACTTGTGCAAAGAACAATCTCCATTATCTTATCAGGGACATAGGGTAACAAGCTGCCAGTGAACAGGTTGTGCAAAACAGGGGAGATAGACAGAGACATCTTTTGCAAAAATCTCAACTCAGTGCTCTGAAATGAAAGGTTGTGATAAAGTACTCTCTCTCGATTTGAAATAAACAGCTAATAAAATGGAAATCTTATAAAGTCATATCCTTTAAAAATGAAATCCATAAATAACCTATTTGACATAATTTTAATAATAGTGTTAAACAGAACACATGCATTAATACACTTTCTCACTCCATGTACGTAATAGTAAAGATCTCATTCAAGAGACCATGGAAAATACATGGAATGTTATTTTGGAAAGATAAAGGGCTTTTCTGATGTTGCTCAAGCAAGCAAAATCAGACAAAACCACTTTGTGTTCCTATTTGTAAATCTAGGATATGCACAGCCAACTTCCTGGGACTCACAGCTTTCCAGAAGAAACCTTCATGTGTGAAAGCCATGCATGAAGCAAAATTTGATGACAAGGAGTTCAAGATTTCTGAACTGAACCTGTTGAGTTTTAAGTGTTCAATATTCTAAGTGTCCTCCACTTAAAAAAAAAAAAAAAACCCAGGGCTGCATTTCATTATTTAATTGTGTTTTTTACTAAAGCAAAGAACCTCCAAAACAACTTTCAATAGGGTTAAGTCATGCAATACAAATGGTCATTATTTTCAGTGTCACCTGCAACTTCTATGCTATGCTGAGGTTGGATGAGCTTTTATAGACATTTGTACTCCACCATGCAAGAATATGAAATCTTGATGACCAAAATGTACTGTATTTTTTTCCTGTTGATTTACTTTAGAGAATAAAAACATATTTAATATGGAAACAGTTGAGGGCAGAAAAACATCCTCATCTCCCCATTTTTGCTACATTCAGGCAAGAGCTGCTCTTTCAGAACTTAACTCTAGCCAGTCTGTTATATTT